CTGCAGCTTGGCTAACGGGTAACCCTCCTTTCCTGGGTAACCCGCCTTCCTGAACGACGACCCTTGTGGTACTTTGTTGTCTTCTTGTCTGTAGTAGTTCGTCTCATTATTTTGTTCCCAGGGAAGGTCCTATCTAACTCCTGTCATCGTACAGAAACGTTTGCCGCGTGCCAGAGTGTCAGATCCTACGACATTTCGCCTTGTGTAATACTTTGCTTTCTTACTCCAAAACGCATATCTGAGGTTAGACTTTTATTTTGGATGCTTTGCCGGTCCCTGTGACGCCGCGAGCCCCTGGAAGCAACACATTACTACTAGTTGCCACTTATTTCTTTTAGGTAGCTGTATATAATAAGTAATATGCCTGCCTGCCGATTACTTTAGACCTCACTCTTATACTTCCAGAATACTGACTGCGGTAGTCAAATATACCTGCGTATGATATGACATCAAACTGCTGAATCTGGCCCGTTGAAGGTCACTGGTATCATTAGGGTTATGGTAAACAATCTTCTATATGACCTCGTTACTCATTACAGTAGCGGAAAACATCCAAAGCTTATGAGTAGTTAGTATAGGCTGAATATGGGGCTGCTGAATCCCGCCCCGCTTAAATATATAGGAATGAAGTACAGCCTGACCCACAACTACCTCAGCGATGCTATCATATAGATTGGACGTGCAGACTTCCTATCAAGCTGTCATAAAACGTTAACCGAAATTCTGATGTGCTTTTTCACTCTGAAAAAAAAACAAATTAATTGGGGTTCAGGGATTGATAAATCTGTGGCCCAATCCTAAATCGTTTCAGTTGCATCGGGATGCCGGCTTTTGAATGAGCTTCATTCTGACCGCCTGCAAACAGCATATTCTGCGAAAAGACTGCTTCAGCCGTATGTGTTTTCGTTCTTGGTTTTCGATGTCCGCAGAATTTCAAATATTTTTCATCAACAAAAATGTAATATTCGTAAAAGTTTGATCATTACTCACCTACCGGCGTGAACGCATTTACGAAAAATTATAAATAATAATTAATGCATAGAAATACTTGAAAGCATAACCGAACCACTTTCTTTATATAAAAAGTACTGTTCTTTACTCATTTTTGTATATATATTACCATTAGTACATAACTGTTTATTTGATATCGTCCTTTAAAACCGGCATATTTTCGAGCGTTTTCAGTGTCTTCATGTGTTCTTCCATTACTTCTGATTGCGTTCGACATTTGCATCAAAACATTTTAGATAAGCTATACATCAAGAATATTTACCGAAAAAAATGAGTTTTTGGATATTAGTTCTTATGAAGATGGCCATGTGAACCGTATTTCGAAATGCCTCTAAACGACAACCCACATTGTCGAATATAAAAAGCGTCCGCAAACTAATTCTGATATTGATGGTATGCCTAAGGTTAATAAAAAAAACTTTCCATAATAGGTTACCCCTTTAAAAAGTGCTTTGATTAGGTATTCAACTGACGAATTTCTGTGTATCTTAACTTCGCTCAAAGTAATGTCGAAATGGAAATAGAGATTTTTGAAATTTTTTTAATTTTCCTGAAGATAAATGGCTCAATTTGACTGGGAATGAAAGAACTTACTTTTCTCATTATATTGGATTATGCTTCGCCATAGTGGATTACTTCCAAGCTCTGTTCTAAGTTTGCAAATGCAAAAAGGTGTGGCCATATCTATAATAAGATTTTTCCATAATTATTATTCTTCTACCTGTTCCATGTCTAAATAAGGCATAAGCGGAATGTATATTGTACAAAGAAGTATATAAGACCTGTTTATATATACCCAACGGCGCAGTTAGTTTTGCCTGTGTTCATTTAAAAACGGTTATCTCGTGCACATTATTGAATATATATACTTTACTATTCTGCTTACTACACGAGTCCTTGCCTTAGAGGAGACTTCATGTTACCTTTAGGTATCTGATCCTTTTCAACAACCATGCTCAGAAGCGGGATCACATCGTCCGGGTGGATCTCGATCTTGGTACGGTTATACGCCAGGTTGTGGCCCGTAAACGCCTGCTGTCCGTTAAACTCTCCTACGAGGGTGCTGACAGTTTTCAGCCGCTGCTGCATCAATTAGAGCCCTCCCCGAATCAGATCTATTTGGCTTCACGTCGACCGGGGCAACTGTTCCGTCTGCGTGCTGGTCCAATCACCCTTTTACCTCTGCAGATTTTACGCCTGAG